ACCTTCCAATCAACCACAACCCACCAGGTAGAGCAAGTTTAGCTTTAGCTACCAAACACGCACCATCGTGTCAGCAAGGCGGACACGATATCATAACTCTTCTTCTATCGTATCATAACTCTTAACTATATTTCCCATTATCAAATATATTTGTTCACACTGTACCTGTCCATCTTCTTTACTCCCCCCTCCTCTTCCCCCATTCCCATCCCTCCAAAATAGTCCCCATTCTATCACAACATTAAGCAGATCACCCTTCCACTACTTCCCTTCCCTCACAATACTTTATCATGTGTTGTCACCATCATAACACTATCCCCCCTCCCCCCCCCCCACACACACACATATACACACACCAAACCCTCCACACCCGGAAACGGAGCATAAGCGAGCGTGGAAAGTGTAAATAAACATTCAGAGTGTACTTTGAATTAATGTACACACAAATAGATGCTAATGCAGACTAAACAAAATGAATTCGGAGGAACGGATACACGTGCAAAGCCCTTTTTCCCCCTCTCCCCCCTTTTGCCTTTCTTCTTTAGACCCTATTCCTCGCTGCCTTCCCAACGCCTATTCCTCGCTGCCTTCCCTACCCCTATTCCTCGCTGCCTTCCCTACTCCTATTCCTCGCTGCCTTCCCTACCCCGTCGTAATAGGCTCAAGGCGCACCAAGTGTTTGAGTTAAGGTTTACAGAGATCAAAAGCCGCGGGAAAGTCCACTAGAAAGTTGGTCGGTAACTCATTTAACCGTCTCAGTGTCAGTAGTACTTGATGTGGTGCTGGGCGTGTGATGCTGCTCATCCTGGGAGCCCTAGCCAGCAGCATCCCCCAGGAGCGACTGACAGGAACGGCATCCCTCTACATGCTATATATATATAGCACATATGACACTTTTCACAAGGTGGTGCTCGACAGAGTGAGTGAGTAAGTGAACGAGTGAGTGAAGTGAACGACACGAGTGAGTGAACGACCGAGTGAGGTGAACGATCGAGTGAGTGGAACGATCGAGTGAGTGAACGATCAAGTGAGTGAGTGAACGGACCCGAGTGAAGTGTGACGATCGAGTGAGTGAACGATCGAGTGAGTGAACGACCGAGTGAGTGAGTGAACGATCGAGTGAGGGTGAACAGAACGAGAGTGAGTGAACGATCGAGTGAAGTGGAACGATCGAGTGAGTGAACGACCGAGTGAGTGAAACGATCGAGTGAGTGAACGATCGAGTGAGTGAGTGAACGAACCGAGTGAGTGACAACGACCGAGTTGAGTGAGTGAACGACCGAGTGGAGTGTGAACGATCGAGTGAGTGACGTGAACGACCGAGTGAGTGAGTGAACGACCGAGTGAGTGGAGGGGTGAACGACCAAGTAGTGATGTGAACGATCGAGTGAGTGAGTGAAACGACCGAGTGACGTGAACGAGTGAGTGAAAGATCGAACGTTGAGTGTGTGTTGTGTGTGTGTGTGTGTGGTGTGTGTGGTGTGTGTGGGTGTGTGTGTGTGTGTGTGTGTGTGTGTGTGTGTGTGTGTGTGTGGTGTGCATCATAAACGTGCTTGAAGGGGTCACACCTCTTAAGCTACTAGTAATTTAAACCAATGGCAACTCTAATATTTCTCAGGTTTATTTTTAAAGCTGTGCATTATTAAACCCCAAAACACCAACTTCTGAAGCCGTGGCTGTTGTTTCAGATTTAGCTACTCAGAACGAAGTGTCCATGTAGCACGGGCTATGGTGAGCCCGTAGTTCTGAAGCCCCTCCCCCCCCCCCCATATATATTTAACCCCTCGCTACGCTGTACTTCCACCTCATCTCTACACGACTCCATTATCTTAGCAGCTTCCTCCACCCTCTTCGTTCCTTGGTTCTGTTGGTCCATGCATGCTTCAAGGTCCATTTCTCATCTCTTCCTCTCCAGTCTGGTGAGGTTCATTTCGCTCAAGGTTTCCTGCGTAAGCCACAGTGCCCCTCTGCTTAGAAGCTAGCCATACTGCTAATCTCTGGGTCTTGGTGTAGTAGAGGACATGCTGTTTGGTCTCACGTAGGTTGTATGCGGTGTTTCATTATGTCCTTAGGTCTAGGCTACTGGTGTGTGCCACTGGTGTTTGAGACATTGACAAAAGGGGCAAGTTGTGGGACATGAATTTCATTGTCAGCTCTCCTCTCTCCTCTCTCTCTCTCTCTCTCTCTCTCTCTCTCTCTCTCTCTCTCTCTCTCTCTCCGTCCCATCCTAAATCCTTATCCTAAACCCTTCCAAGTGCTATATAGTCGTAATAACTGGCGCTTCCCCCTTGATAGTTCTCTTCTTCTCTCTCTCTTTTATAAAACATGAGAGAAAGAAAGAGAGAAAGAAAGAGAGAGAAGAGAGAGAGAGGAGAGAGAGAGAGAGAGAGAGAGAGAGAGGAGAGGAGAGGGAGAGAGAGAGAGAGAGAGAGAGAGAGAGAGAGAGAGAGAGAGAGGGGGGGGAGGGGGGGGGATGGAGAGGCGGGGGGGCATTCCTGTCCCACAACTTGACACGCCAAATAATACCCCACAAATAGCAGAATAAATCATTCCTCTACGCACCCTTCCATCACATTTCCTATCCTCCAGCTGCCAGTTCCATCCTATGCCCACTTCCCAAATCAGCTCGGCATCGTCCCCTTCATCCTCCTCTAACCATCATACCTTCCAATCAACCACAACCCACCAGATGGAGCAAGTTTAGCTTTAGCTACCAAACACGCACCATCGTGTCAGCAAGGCGGACACGATATCATAACTCTTCTTCTATCGTATCATAACTCTTAACTATATTTCCCCATTTCCAAATATATTTGTTCACCTGTACCTGTCCATCTTCTTTACTCCCCCCTCCTCTTCCCCCATTCCCATCCCTCCAAAATAGTCCCCATTCTATCACACATTAAGCAGATCACCCTTCCACTACTTCCCTTCCCTCACAATACCTTATCATGTGTTGTCACCATCATAACACTATCCCCCTCCCCCCCCCCCCACACACATATACACACACCAACCCTCCACACCCGGAAACGGAGCATAAGCGAGCGTGAAAGTGTAAATAAACATTCAGAGTGTACTTTGAATTAATGTACACACAAATAGATGCTAATGCAGACTAAACAAATGAATTCGGAGGAACGGATACACGTGCAAAGCCCTTTTCCCCCTCTCCCCCCTTTGCCTTTCTTCTTTAGACCCTATTCCTCGCTGCCTTCCCTACGCCTATTCCTCGCTGCCTTCCCTACCCCTATTCCTCGCTGCCTTCCCTACTCCTATTCCTCGCTGCCTTCCCTACCCCGTCGTAATAGGCTCAAGGCGCACCAAGTGTTTGAGTTAAGGTTTACAGAGATCAAAAGCCGCGGGAAAGTCCACTAGAAAGTTGGTCGGTAACTCATTAACCGTCTCAGTGTCAGTACTTGATGTGGTGCTGGGCGTGTGATGCTGCTCATCCTGGGAGCCCTAGCCAGCAGCATCCCCCAGGAGCGACTGACAGACAGGCATCCCTCTACATGCTATATATATATAGCACATATGACACACACATATATATATATATACATATGACACAGCCAGGCACAAGTCAGGTGCAGTAATCCTGGGGAGCTTGGTCTAATGTTAAGTAATTTACAGATTTATGGATATTGTGTTCTACGTCAAATGGACCTAAAATCCGGTTATCATTTATTAAAGTTAGTGCATAAGTTAACAACAGTTCTTTGGTATGTACCCACTCCCATGTTGGCGCAAGGAAAGGGAGGGAAAGGTGGCAGGAGGGAATGGGGGGTGGCAGGAGGGATGGAAGGGGTGGCAGGAGGAATGGAAGGGGTGGCAGGAGGAATGGGGGATGGCAGGAGGGATGGAAGGGGTGGCAGGAGGGATGGGGGATGGCAGGAGGGATGAAAGGGGTGGCAGGAGGAAAGGAGAGAGGCGAGGCAAGAGGGGGGTACACCACAGTTCCTGAAGCCTAGCGGCCCATTTGACGCAATACTCATAATGTCAATCCTCGCCTGAAGTCAGTAGCATACAGATTAACGCGCAGTGAACATGCATTGGTCTCTTCACTGCTCGCTACTGTTTGCACTACTTCAGCCGACTGTGTGCGCGCTGCACCTCTTTAACAACTACCGTCTACTCAACTAAACATACATTGGTGTTTGCTGAGTCCACAGACACGAGGCCACCTCTCAAACAGCGAGTGGGCGATGAAAAGACAAGTGTTTGAGGGATGCTGGGGAACACACCCAAGATGCTGTGCTCACTTGGATTAATGTGACGGCACTGTAGACTGTGAGGGCACTGTAGGCTGTGAGGGCACTGTAGGCTGTGAGGGCACTGTAGACTGTGAGGGCACTGTAGGCTGTGAGGGCACTGTAGACTGTGAGGGCACTGTAGGCTGTGAGGGCACTGTAGGCTGTGAGGGCACTGTAGACTGTGAGGGCACTGTAGGCTGTGAGGGCACTGTAGACTGTGAGGGCACTGTAGGCTGTGAGGGCACTGTAGGCTGTGAGGGCACTGTAGGGTGCCTCCGCTGCTGGAGGCTATGACGGCTCCTGCAGGTAATCAGCCCTCATATCCTGCCAGTTCCGGGTGAGTGAAGAGGACTTGAAGACCTCCTGCAGGAGCAGCAGCAGCAGCAGCAGCAGCAGCAGCAGCAGCAGCAGCAACAGCAGCAACAGCGGTCAACGCTCACGAAAAAAAAAGTCTGTTGTGACGCTGTTACCAACTAGTTACTGGTCTGTAGGGATGGTGTCAAGACGAGAGGGAACTTGTGCTTCATGTAAGGTTTTGCAGCCATTGCTGTCAAGGTGTGAGATGCGCCGTAGAGCTGTAAGTTTCCTGGCTGCCTTTTGAGCTACGTTAAGCACGTGATCATGACAATTTCTTCTCTTGTCATGTCCTGTGTGTTCTCTTGTCATGTCCTGTGTGTTCTCTTGTCATGTGCATGCGTATTCCTGTCAAGTCACATGTCACCACTGTCATATTTCGTGTGCACTCACCGGTCTCGTCTCCTTTACACTCACTGCTGTCAAGTCTCATGTGCACTCCTGTCATACCTCGTGTCACGGCTGACATGTCAGGTGTCACGGCTGACATGTCAGGTGTCACGGCTGTCATGACCATCGCCTCCCTCCTCCGTACCTGACACAAGATATTACCTAAGGCTCCAACAAGGTCAACTTGGTGAAATTAAAATGATTTAGTAAAATGACTAAAGACGACCATTGTTATCTGAAATTCTTTTCAATAAATAGGATTTTTTGATCTTGTCTTTTGCGTCCAGAGCCTTCGACGGGTACCTGGAGGCGGGGCGGGGAGAGGTGGGGAGGGGCGGGGAGGGGCGGGGAGGGGCATGACCGCTGGGATCAATTAGGCACCGACAGGAAAATGTTCAAGAGGCTGCCGGAACCGGAAATGAAGAGGTTGGGGGGGGGGGGGGGCAGAAGCATGCTATGGCTCAGGGCGCCCAGAGTTGTGGGAATAATTGCGGGGGTCATATTAGGGCTTTCCCCTTAGGCTAACCACCCACCTGTTGCCTTGAACTCCACACACACACTCTCTCTCTCTCTCTCTCTCTCTCTCTCTCTCTCTCTCTCTCTCTCTCTCGCTCTCTCTCTCTCTCTCTCTCTCTCTCTCTCTCTCTCTCTCTCTCTCTCTCTCTCTCTCTCTCTCTCTCTTTTGTTTTTATTTTTATTCTCTGTCCCCAAAACGCAGTCGGGTTGTGGCCATGCCTGAGCGGACTTGTTTCTGTAATGACCTGCTCTGTGATGGAACTAGTGAGAAACATTGTATTTTAGGCAGTTAAATGTTCGACTCTATGATGACCCCGGGCTCTAAAGACACGACCTCTTGACGTCCCTTCTGTGCGTCAGTGTTCAGACGCTCACGTCACTCGGGGTATGAATATAAGACAATATTAACATCAAATAATTGAAATACAGTGATGTTATTTATTGTACTCCACTAGCCAGAGTGAAGCAGGCCATTAGGGGACTGCTTCATGGCACCAGCCTGCCGTGGCACACCGGTTGCCCGCCACTGGGGAGCAGTAATTAGGGAGACATATTATTTGAAATAGGGAAAGTACATCAAAGGCGCCTTGAAACGAGGCGACCAGCTCTCTGGTGCTACAGTGTTGGTGAATGTGTCTGTTGGAAAATGCTAGAGGCCGGACACAAGAACCCGTCCACCCTACAATAACCCGCCCACTCTTCAGGAACCCGATCACACCTTAAAAATAAATGTCCATCTTCGAGGAGTTTTCCAGCACTGTAAGACGAAGTCACAGTGAAGAAGAATGTTTACATAACAGGAGAAAGTCCGCCCTATAGGGAGCCAATTCGCCTTCCACGTGGAATATAACCATCTTCGGGGAAAAGGGGCCCAACCACATTTCAGAAGAAATCCACTCACATTCCAGGAGAAGGAGCCCACCCATCTTCCAGAAACCCCACCCATGTTCTAGGAGCAGCCCACCCATCTTCCAGAAGCCCCACCCACGTTCAAGGAGCAGCCCACCCATCTTCCAGAAGCCCACCCATCTTCTAGAAGCCCACCCATCTTCCAGAAGCCCCACCCATCTTCCAGAAGCCCCACCCACGTTCAAGGAGTAGCCCACCCATCTTCCAGAAGCCCCACCCACGTTCAAGGAGCAGCCCACCCATCTTCCAGAAGCCCACCCATCTTCTAGAAGCCCACCCATCTTCCAGAAGCCCCACCCATCTTCCAGAAGCCCCACCCACGTTCAAGGAGGAGCCCACCCATCTTCCAGAAGCCCACCCATCTTCCAGAAGCCCCACCCATCTTCCAGAAGCCCCACCCACGTTCAAGGAGGAGCCCACCCATCTTCCAGAAGCCCCACCCATCTTCCAGAAGCCCCACCCACGTTCAAGGAGGAGCCCACCCATCTTCCAGGAGAGCCCACCCGTTCCTCGGTGGCGCCGTGCCAGTAAACCTGACAAAGGTCTGTTAAACTTCGAAGTTTTAGATTTATTACAGGACTGTGATAAGTTAAATGGAAAATTAAGAAGAGATCCTCAGACTGTAAGGATACTCTAGCCACGTTTGTCCTTGCAAGATATGGTAAGACGTGACACCCATCCCCACACACCTGAAACTGAAAACCCGACGACGTTTCGGTCCATCAAGGAGCATTATAATGTTGACTTGATAATGGTCCAATACGGACCGAAACGTCGGTTTTTCATTCACAGCTACGTGGATTGATGGCAACTCTTTAGCTGCCGTCTAGCTGTGAGTGGTCGTCTGCATGTGGTAAGACATCTTCTTTATAATGAGTTTAATTAATCAGGAGCAGTTATTGTAGCTCATGCAACTAATTCTTTCTCTGGTTACGGCCGGTGAGGCTCAGTAACAGTCATACAATTCGGCGTCACCAATTGCTCAGTCTAGGCTGGCGAGGTAACAAGACGTGACTCTCTCAGTCCGTCCTCTAAACAAAGACCCAAAAGTGATTCCATCCACCCGCCAACCCCCCCTGTTTATGAATGAAAAACGGTTTACACACGACTCACAACTGCTGACGTTCGAACACTTCCGGAACAAGTGCTTCACTGACGAATTTTGTTGGAACCACAACGCTATAAATGCGTCACCATACGCCACTGTGGTGTACCAACGGAGCACCATACGCCACTGTGGTGTACAAACGGAGTACCATACACCACTGTGGTGTACAAACGGAGCACCATACACGCCACTGTGGTGTACAAACGGAGCACCATACGCCACTGTGGTGTACAAACAGAGCACCATACACCACTGTGGTGTACAAACGGAGCACCATACGCCACTGTGGTGTACAAACAGAGCACCATACGCCACTGCTGGGATAAAGTCCACTTCCATACGCAAGAGAGAAAGCTCATCTCGACGATAGCGTCCTCTGATCCCATACAAAAGACGACTCCAGTACCTCCTCAGCCGGTGTAGCCAGAATACGTTCATGTTACTGCTAGCCGTGCCCATTATTTACCGTTATCTTGAGGTTATCTTGAGATGATTTCGGGGCTTTTAGTGTCCCCGCGGCCTGGTCCTCGACCAGGCCTCCACCCCCAGGAAGCAGCCCGTGACAGCTGACTAACACCCAGGTACCTATTTTACTGCTAGGTAACAGGGGCATAACCGTGCCCCCCCCTCTCCCCCTCCCCCCTGGCCACGATAGCGATCCAGCTGTGGTCAAGAGGACACTAATGAGCGCCTCCACATTCCCTCAACATACCACACGCACGCTCAAAGAACTCACGAATCCCACGGAATCCACATTCAGCGAAAAACCACATTTTCTTCCTTCCCGCATCTTCCTCAAACTTAAAGAAAAGGGGGGGGGGGGGAATTGGAGCTCAATAAACATCTCCAGCAGGAATAGTGGAAGTGGGGAGTTCAGTCTCTCCCCTACAGCACCTTGCCAGCTGTTGTTGTTGTTATAGATTCAGCTACTTGGAACAAGTTCCAAGCAGCACGGGCTATGGCGAGCCCGAGCTTGCCAGCTCTTACCTAAGCGTCCGCACTTACCCAAGTGCTTCCCATTCTCTACATCACATCAACAAATCTTTTTTGACTAGTTGCATATGAAAAGGGCTGCAATTTTTCCAAGCTTCAGTACATCCACCAGGAAAATATGATTTATCAATTACAGTTATTTAAAGGAACGATGAGGGAGCAGTGGTTATTACTCGATCAGTCAGGTTAAGGTTAGAATTGGTTGGGTGACCGCGAGAAGAGTCTCACCCTTAGCTATATATAGATATATATAATCTATATATATATTATATATATATATATATATATTATATATATATATATATGTGGAACCTGCTAAGCCTAATAGAATTTCTGATCCCATCAATGGTATACCATACCTCACATATAATAAGGAGGGGGGGGGGTTGAGCGTCGGCTCTTTGGTCCCGCCTGACTATCTGGAATCATCTTGAGAAGAATGAATTCCGTATTACACAAGCTAACGTTGTTTTGTTGTTGCTTTAGACCCCGCTACTTTGAACCAAAAGTTGCAAGTAGCACGGGCTATGGCGAGCCCGTAGTGGCCTTGCAACACGCTAACTATCTCCCCCATTACTACGATCACTAGAGGCTCTCCTCCAGTACTTGTCAACATAACTCGGGTACTCACCACTATTCCGGATTGTTCTGTGCTTCATCGGAGACCGGGAACTCTGGTAGAACTTGGGGCCACAGTAGGTAGGATAGTGCTCCAGGGTGCCGGAGTGTACAGTAGGGCTTGGGAGACCTAGCCCAGCCCCAGCCCCAGCCCTGAAGACCTGAGGACCCCGACTCCGCTCAAAATTGCACTTAAACATATCTTTAAAAAAAACGCGGAGATGTCCACTGCCTTAAAAGGCTCAGCAATCACTGACTATTTAAGGACACGTAATATGGCGCATCTTAACTACCCCGAGGTTGACTCAAAATGAGGTAAGACGGCGCATCTTAACTACCCCGAGGTCGACTCAAAATGAGGTAAGATGGCGCATCTTAACTACCCCGAGGTCGACTCAAAATGAGGTAAGATGGCGCATCTAAACTGCCCCGAGGTCGACTCATAATACCGCCGACCCCCACACCACACTGGGGGGGGGGGTGAGAGGTGAGGTCTGGTCAGGGGGGCGTCATGGGAAATGATTCAGTTACTGGGAATGATCGCGTCTGTAACGACGGTAAGATAGCCCGTCCTCCGCCCCGGCGAGACGGGAGGGGCGAGAGGGTAAGGGGAAGAGAGAGACAGGAAGAGGGAGGGAGAAGGGAGAGGAGAAAGAGGTAGATAACACAGACGATGGTTCATTCTGGCATGGGAGTAGTTACACTCCACGCCATATATGTAGATTAAATACCCCCCACACCCTGTCCCCCCCCTGCTAACCCTGGCCCCAGCCCCCCCATAAAACCCCCCATCCCTTACCCTCCCTCTACCCCCTCCCTATCTGTAATATAAACACCTCACTTCGTTCCCTCATAATTGAGAGAAAAATGCAGGATGAGGCAGAGAATGAGTCGTGTGTGTACTCATCTAGTTGTGCTTGCGGGGGTTGAGCTCTGGTTCTTTGGTCCCGCCTCTCAACTGTCAATCAACTGGTGTACAGGTTCCTGAGCCTACTGGGCTCTATCATATCTACATTTGAAACTGTGTGTATGGAGTCAGCCTCCACCACATCACTGCCTAATGCATTCCACCTGTTAACTACTCTGACACTGAAAAAGTTCTTTCTAACGTCCCTGTGGCTCATGTGGGTACTCAGTTTCCACCTGTGTCCCCTTGTTCGTGTCCCACCCGTGCTGAAGACTGATATGTGTGTGTGTGTGTAAAATGTGTGTGTGTGTGTGTGTGTGTGTGTGTGTGTGTCTGTGTCGTGTAACGTTTACTGTTGTGTTTTTACTGAGCTTTGCTCTTTCGGCCCGCCTCTACTGTCAATCAACTGTTTTACTACTTTTTTTTTTTTTCCACACCACACAACCCCCCCCCCCCCCAGGAAGCAGCCCGTGACAGCTGTCCCAGGTACCTATTTACTGCTAGGTAACAGGGGCATTCGTGAAAGAACTTTGCCCACTGCCTCGTGCGGGAATCGAAGAGTACGAATCCTGTGTGTGCCCCCCAGAGTGTGTGTGTGTGTGTGTGTGTGTGTGTGTGTGTGTGTGTGTGTGTGTGTGTGTGTGTGTGTGTGTGTGTGTGTGTGTGTGTGTGTGTGTGTGTGCGCGCGCGCTCACGTGCGTCTCTTCATGGCTCCGTTAATTCAGCTATCAATCACCTAAAGAAATATGCTCCAGAAACCCCTCCAAAAATTCTATCACTTCTAAATTTAAGCCTATAAGAGGCTTAAAGCCTTCCCAAACCTTCTCCAGATTACTCCATTTACAGAATAATAGAAAGTAAATAGTAAATTTACTATTCACTATTAGTGAATATTTACTCTTTTTACTATTAAATTTACTATTCAGTAAATAGAATTGACTGAATTTGCTTCAGTACATGTTTCTTTACATATTTATTATTCACCTACATCACCAACCTCCATCAGTGCCTCTTTCTTAGATGCTGCCGCTGGTTAAGCATTTCCTCCGTGTCAGTGTTCTTGAGAATCTTGTACGTCGCAATCATGGCTCCTGTCCTTTATGTTATGTAGCAGAATCGAGCTCCGTCAAGGCTTTCCTCAAAGTGGTGAGTATCCCAGGTGTATCGTGAGTAAGTGATGAGGTGTATGAGGCGGTGCCTGGCGAGTACGCCAGAATGCTTATCAGTGGGCGAATGAGTGATGGGTTATACGATATCAGGCAATCACCGCTACCTCATCACCACCACCATCACCATCATCACCACCAACGGCATCACCTCCACAGCCACTTCCTAACATCAATTTCTCCATCAAATTTTGTCAAGTGCATCAACGTTTTTGCAGGCGAACGATAGAATATAAGTCACTCACTCAGGTAGACAGGTGCCTCCCCTTATCTCCCGTCCACTAGCCGTCAACAGACGGATATCCACCCGTCATTAAGTCGCGATAATCGCGTCGTCGATCCTTAACGGAGCTGCGTGCATGGGTCTCGCTTCCGGCGGCGTGAGAGGGCTGGGGACCCGTCTCCCACGACTCTTCCTCATATAATATGTAATGGTGGGTGACGTGATGCAGTTACGTAAGCCGCTGACATCGCCCGCTGTCCAGACGGCACCGATCCTGTGCCAGGTAAGTCCGCTACGGGCTCACAATAGCCCGTGCTACTTGCCCCGCTCCTGTGTCAGGTAAGTTACGGGCTCACCATAGCCCGTGCTACTTGGAACTTGTTCCGAGTAGCTGAATCTATAATAACAACAACAGCCCGCAGTCATCCAGCAGCGGCGCTCACCTTTACACATCTGAGTGAGTGAGTGAGTGAGTGAGTGAGTGAGTGAGTGAGTGAGTGTGTGCATATTCACCTAGTTGTTCTTGCGGGGGTTGAGCTCTGCTCTTTCGACCCACCTCTCAACTGTCAATCAACTGTAACTAACTACTATTCACACACACACACACACACACACACACACA